AATTTTTGAGAATGCTGCTCCGTTTTTTTTTTCTTTCTTTTTGGAAAATCGATCGTAAAGTTCTTTCTATGAAGCAGCACTTAACACGATCTTACTCCACATTCTATCTCCTCAAGTGCACGCGCATCATCAAAGTTCGATTTTTCTTCGAAAAGAAAAATTCTCGTTTCCAACACGCTTTTTTGACACACTTTCGCACCGTTTCGTTTTGTATCACGATCTTTTTTCTTCTTTTTTTTTTTTATATATATATTTTTTTATCTCTCTGTACAACGTATAACCCACGCAGCAATTTTCAATATTCCACGAGATTTCCATCTCGAGTTTTCCGCGAACGTGCACAACGAAATTTCTAAATCTGTTCAATCTCGGCGGCGTTCATCGATTTTGGAGGGAAATTAACGGCCGAAACCCCCGCGTTTGCATCCGTTATCGGGACTCGGGGGATGAATACTTCTCGGCTATTAATAGATAGCACGATTAAACGGAGGGGCCTCGGTTAATTCCTCAAGCAAATGTGTGGCGCGAGTTTCGACACGCGCGCATAAATCCTTGGCTTTTCGTAGAAATTTTCCTAAAAACCTGCTAAGTGGCTCGAGCTCGATTTTTCATCATTTCGCTTCTCATTATTCCTCGTTATTCAATCGGCCCGCTTGATATCAGGCTTAACCACGATTTAGTTTAAGCTAGCGTATACGACGACGAGTATTTCCGGATCGATCAAAGATGGATGGGTTGGGGTTCTAACATTACGTTTCCATGATAGGAAATGTGAAAATCGCGAGTCGATGGATGTTTAATTAATACGGAATGATTTAATGATTTAAATATTTTTGGAAAGAAGTTTCCTTCGATGATACGTATTTCAATATTTATCCGTCAGATTTAGATTTAGAATTAATTCTAGCATTTTGTCTCGGTTGTTTCATAAAACTGATCATCTTCTTCGTCATCTTTTCACAGAGTTCGAAGGAACAATTTCAAAGAATGAAAAAGTGTAAATGCAAAAAATATCGATTCCACGCCCATAAAAAGTAAAGAGATGATAATAATTCTCGTCGTTTGCTTAACCAAGTTTCCAAAGGATTCAAAAAAAAAAAAAAAAAATATCGATCCCAGGATCGTGTTCCATCCATAAAAGGGAAAGATTAATCATAATTCTCGTCGTTTGGTTAATCTTAAGTTGAGAGAGGATCGATATCGAAGGAGATCGTAAAAAGTTCAGGTGCAAAGACATTGGCAAGAAAAGTTTGCAACTTTATCACAGCCAAGAGCGGCGATGAGCGTGGGTGTATCGAGCCTCATTCTCAAAGAGGTGAACGTGTCGGGCATTAATTATTACAATCCCGCTCTTTCAACTGTTTTCCAACGGTCATCACGTCGATGATCGTGTTCGGTAAACTTCGATGCTTCCTCCAACTTCTTTCTCTCGAAACCACAATTTATTATTAAATAATTTGTTAACACGATTTCATTCTTTCTTCCGCGAAATAAGTATAAATAAATCCAAATATACACTGGACAATTTTAAATTAAATCATTTGATTCTTTGCTCGATTGCAATTGAAAGATCAACTTCTCGTTCTTTTTGCTTCCTCTCGAAAATATTTTCTCGCAATATCCAATATCGTTTCCGAAATATTCGATCGATTTGAAATTCGAACGAGAAAAATTCGAGGAGGAAGATGGCGGCTGGCAACTCGACGAGGAAATTTTCTGACCGGAATCGGATTATCCGTCGAATTTTGGATGCTAATTACAAGGAAGAAGGGAGACGAAATTGCATCGGGGAAACTTATTGGGCCGGAAGAGAGCGAGGCCGCTTTTTAGATTAAACAGTCCTCCAAGCTCGATCAGGGAGAGACGTTGTGATTAAGTTTCTCGTTCGAGTTTCGCGATACTTTCCAACTTCCGCATTGTTCCGAGCAGGCTACTTGGAAAGACGGCCGTAATTTCATCATCGATTAAATTGTCGGCCTGTGAAGATCTTCGAGAACCTCTCTCTCTCTTTCTCTCTCTGTGAACCACACAGGGATACAGAAGTATTGTAAGCATATATAAGTGGCGAGGAAATTCCGGGAAACGATCTCGATGCGCGAAGAGATCTCGAGACCTCTTCGAGCGTGTCTTTCAATGCCCCCTTCGAGTCGAGGGTTTCCCTTCGAGTGGTTTAACTTTGCCCCAAACAAGATCTTCGATTGGTCTTTTTTAATACTCAAAAATCCTTCTTCCTTCTCGAAAACGGAGAAAGTCGAAAAACCGTACATGAGACCGTCGATCTTATATATATATATAGCATCGAATATACACGACGTTTCAAAGAGGAAACGTCCAAGAATTCCTAAAAAAGGAGCGCGGAGGGGATTAATTATGGGAGCGCTATTGACCGCGGAGAATAAAATTTCCTTTTTTTCTTTCCTCTTCTTAATAAAAGGACTTGTATCGAGGTTGAAAATGGGGCGTTGATTCGCTGGAAGTTGAGAGGAAAGGAGCGGATCGGGTCCCGGTGGATGTACACGGCTCCCATCTCGACGCGTCCACCCCTTTTGTCCCGCCAACCTGCTTGCGATTGTGATAAGAGCTTAAGGCCGAGAGGATTTTAATACTTGAGCTCGACAAAAGGGTTCACCGTCGTGACGACACTTTAACTCGCCTGTTGGTTGAAAAGAATGGCCGACTGGCACATCGGGGAGGAAGAGAGAGGAAGAGAAAGAGAGTATTATTCCCTTCTTTTTCGACATGGGGTTGGCTCAGTTTCATCGGTGTTTCGCCTTAACGACACCGTAATTCACGAGCTCTTTTCAACAGGGAAGACTACCTTGTCGTATTCCAAGATTCTTTTCGTGCATCAAGTTATTATTAATTTAGACACGGGAAAATTTGGACGCTTTCGAATTCTCATACTCGACGACGAGAAAAGACGAGTTCAAAATGGGAGGATAATTGAGTACGTATTTGCCCTCTACTCGGGCAAACGTTTCCAACGTCCGTTTTACGCTGCGAATCGTGCGCCAATCTATTTCACGGATCGTTTACACGTGGTTATCCACGACTTGGAAAGAGCAGAGGCGCAGAGATACGAGGATTTAGAACGATTTTCGACGAGGGATGAATAAAAGGGACGCGATTAAATGCAAGCTGTAAATGAATCGGCCGTGAAGCTCGTTCCGAGTTTATCTTATTACCCCGGTGGGCGAAAATCATCCGAGTGTCACGAGGCTGGGGAGCACGTGTTCGATAATGTGTTCGAGCCACGAATTCAATATCGGAAGGAGGTTCTAGCTGCATCCAGCGGTGAATTTCAATCAAACTGGTACTGGTACTGGCTCGTCACGAGCTCGTCGCGGATGAATAATGGCCGATTCTTGATCGACGTGCTAAATGTAGCGTGAACGTATCGTGTTATATAGATCGATATACCCAGGTCTTAAGTAACGGGATAAGCGATCGAGATAAATTGACGAGATTTACCCATGATTTAGGGAAAAAGTCTCGTTGATCGACTCAACCAAATCAACCTTGAAGAACGCGTCCTCCTTCCAAGAACGAGGAAAGAGGAGGATAAAAAAAAATAGGAAGATCTCCGAGTTATAATATCGTGGCTGGAGAGCCGTTCCATTTCTTTTGGATCCAAAAATTCCTCTCTTTCGCCCAATAATATCTCAAACGCGTGCATTTCTTTATACACATAATTTTCTCAATGTCGGGCGGAAGAAGGGTGGCGTGCGGAACAGAAAGATACGAGGAGAGGGGCGATAAACTTTGGCCAGAAAAATAACATAAATCGTAGAGAAAGCGAGGGGAGGGGATCCGGAGGGGAGAGAAGGCGGAAGGTTGGAAACGAGGAGGAGGTCGACCGTGGTGCGTTTGTGTGGATGGCAGATCAGGGAGGGGGTGGCCCAGGACACACTGGAGCCAGGAATTTTAACAGGCGAGGTGTAGGCGAAATAGTTGGGGGTTGCTTGGCCGGCCGCCAGAGTTCTCGGCTAGCATCGGACAACTATTTTCCTAATTTTCCATTTCTTTCGCAGTTTGACCTTCCATCCGCTTTTTTTCTTTCTCTCTTTTTTTTAAATCATTCGTCCAATTTTCGAATCGAGCGAGATGAAAATTTTAAAGCCCGCGTTTGCTTGTTTCTTTCGTGTGCTATATATATATAATGTACAAAGCATGTATATCCTGAGTGTAACGTGTACTCGCTAGCCAATTCGTAGCACGTTGTTTACATTAAAAAACTGTGCCTGCGATGCCAAGAGTGTGCTTCGATCCAGTCTTACGTTGAGATTAGAGGTGTTTGCAAAACGGCAAAAATACTCGAATCCATACTAGAACTAGAACGAACAATTAGCTGGAAACCAAGTTACAGTAGATGTATACAGCCTCTCCAGAGAGAACACCGTTCATCGTTTGCAGACGAATTTGCATGAATTTAATCTGTTCGCAGTTAATAGATCGAGTTTCGAAAATTTATTTGAAAATAACAACGGAGAACCTATACACAACTTTCTCGATTGGAAAAGAATTTGTACTATGGATATAAAAATATATATATACAGATGTAAGAACTACTTACGATTGGAGAAGAATTTACAAATACATCGTGTAAGATGAAATGAATGAAAGAAGGAAAAAGAGAGGGAGATGGATTTTTTTTTTAACAAGCCACAAACAAATAGCCGGATAAAAGGTAACGCGTGTATAGGTGAATTTTGTGTGCGATTAACTACCTCAAACAAACAAACGACATCGGGTCTCGAAGCGGAGAGAATTTTAATCGCGCGATTGTTCCTGTTTCGATGGTCGCATTACGTACGTATAGATGTGTCGTGTGAACGTTTCATTTCGTAACGAAGAGAGAGAGAGAGAGTATCGTTTCATTATGCTAACGAAATATCGATTATGATAATGCATATGGGTCCGATTGGACCGCGTGATATTACGACAAGGAGGATGATACTACGTGATCGACCTGGTCGCGGCACGTTAACGCGTTAGTTTCAAACAATTTTTTTTTTTTCAGATTATCGTGCATAAATGCAATCAAGTAAAATCAACGTCGATCTTAGAAATGTTTATCTTTATTATGACAACTGGTTTAAAAAAATCACGTAATAAACACGATCCTTGGAACGATGATTATCGAAAACTTATCTTTTTTTTTTCTTTTTTTTCTTTTTTCTATTTCTTTCTTCTCTTTATTTATTAATCGCACGCAAATATGAAATATCTCGTTAACTGTATTCGCGTACTGTCATCTAACGAGGTGATTAATGGGAACCATTCCCGTCGAAACTAACGTATTTCATCCACGTTACGAATCATTAACGAAATCGAATAATCGATACTGCGATTCTAGGTAACAGCTATTAATTCTCTCGTTCGTATTCTATATATATATATATAT